CTCCCCTCCTCCAAGCTCTAGTGGGCCCCAACCCAACTCTGCACCCCTGCTTCTTCAGCTCATGCCAGCTGCGCGCCGAGCCTTGCTCGCACCTCCAGCACCTCAGCTCAATCCGAGTCGATTCTTGTGCCGCACCACCAGCAGCCCACACTACCCACTACAGCACAGCAACCTTGTGGCACCCCTGCCACATTTCTCATGCCTCCTTGACCCTCGCTGAGCTAATTTTTCAAGCCCCGGAGTTCCAAAAAATTAAGAAGAAGAAAATTCAAATTTTTCTTACCTTAGTGCAGCACAAAGAAGAAAACCAACAACAAGAGACGACTCTTTGCAAGGGCAAGAGAGGAAGAAAGCTAGGGGTAAGGGAACAAACTTCCCCTGGCTTCTCTCTTCCTTGTTGGAATGATGATTGTTCTCCAATTTTATTTAATCCCCCGCTTAAGGCAGAATTAAAAAGGTATTGGGGGCAATTGGTTTCCTTTTCCCAGAAGAAGTCTATCTCCAAATCAAGGAAGGAGATCAAGTTTAAATTGGGAAACAACTCTACGAGCCCATGCAGCTTGAGACCTACTGCCTTTTTCCTACATGCAGCCCAGTAGGTGTGGGGGAATTTGTGGAGCCTAAAATAATTCCAAAAATTCTAGAAGCGACATGTGGACTTTTGCCCACAAGATTGCCCGCAATAAATGGGCAGGCTCCTCAGATACTCCCACGCGCAGTTCACAACCCTGAAGGTCCCAGCAGCTGAATACGACTGTCCACAACTTACATGCCTTTGGCAAGGAAAAGTCAAAACATTAAAGATAAGGATTAATCAAATCTTATCTTTAATACATTCCCAATTGAAGATTGACTTCATTCAAGTAAGTAATCCCTATTTAAATCAATTAAGGATAATTACTCCATTATCTCAAGATATTATTTTCTATTTAATATCTTGAGCATATTTCTCCATAAAACCATGGCCAATAGGATGCCGCCATGTGTAGGGTAAAACCCTAACACCATGGCTGGCCACTCCCCTATATATACCCCTTATTCTACCAAATTTGAGTAAGCTTTTGCTACCTCTAAAAGCCTTAAACATTTTACTCTACTTAGAGAAACTAACTAATTCCTTTTTTGCTAAGGTGAGGCCACGAGCCTTAGCAAGAATATGTAGTTCGTTTTCAATTTGCTTATGATAATATGCATGCATGTTTTGAGTTGTTAATCACTGGTTTAAACTATCTATTCGTCTTAGTGATTCACAACCATTAGGATATTTAGAAAAGTAATTTGATGCAATTTTGGTCAAAGGTCCGTCCTTGAAATTGACGAAGGCTTCTTGTGATTAATATGTGCAAATTCACATAGGATGAATACCAGGTCTTAAGGGTTGCATGGTTTTTCAAAAGATTTCACATAACTTAATGAGTCATGCATGTTTAGATTTGATCTGAATACCACAAACGGATTGCATATTCGATATACGTTCTATATTGGGGGTCCAAGTAGGCATATATTAGGAAAACTTAACCTTCGAAATATGCATGTATAGGTCATAAGTAATTGGGAGAACTATATAGGATTGTTAAGGTGACGGCAGATCCCTAGTACTTTCTCAATGTAATTTCTAAAAACTGTTTCTTTTTCCTCATCTTTAATATTACAGATTGTTCTATTCTCATTTATTAATTTCGTTTTGTATTAAATTAGGTCATAAAATCAATCATCCCAAATCTTTGCTTTGCAGTAATTAACTGAAATTTGGTTTGATACGAATTATTTAATAATCCTTGGGGAGAACGACCTTGTTAGAACCATTTATACTACAATATCCTTGCCATTCTTGCAAGTATTATAGGTGCCTTTAACCCTTTTGCGCATGTGGTAAAAATTCTATCACCTACCTTGGTTCAATGGGAAATTTCAAAAAGATTCTTCGATTCCTCAAGGGCTCAGTAGGTTGCGGATGAAGAAAGATGGCTCCAATTACATTATGGGATACACTGATGTCGACTGGGTAGGTAATCCCCCTTTACAAAAGTTAACCATGGGTTTTTTGCATCTTTGTTGGAGGCAATCTCGTCACATGGAAAAGTAAGAAACAAACGGTGGTAGTAAAGTCTAGTGCCGATGCTGAGTATAGGGCCATGGCAGCCACAACTTGTGAACTCATTTGGTTAAGGGGTTTTCTTTAAACTTTGGCTTCACCAGCAAGCAACCTATGCCTTTGTTTTGCTGCAACGAGGTTGCCATGCACATTGCATCCAACCTTGTGTTTCATGAAAGGACGAAACATATTGAAGTTGACTGCCATTATATTCATGCCCAAGTTCAATCCAAAGTGATGGAAACCGTGTTCACAAGAAGTCACGATCAACTTGCAGACTTTTTGACAAAAGCCTTAGACTCTACACAGTTTCAAAGGTTGTTGTTCAAGCTTGGATGAATGAACCCCCTTGATCCAGCTTGAGGGGGAGTATTGAAAGACATGTATAGGTTACAAGTTGCTCCTGCAAATCTAGCAATCACGTGTGAGCGTTACAGCCGCCACTTTCTTCATTTTTCCCTTAATTGTAGGGTTTATGTCTTCTTTGTAACTTGTAACTAGGTTTAGCCCAATATTGTAACTCGTAATTAGGGTGAGCTTGGTTAACCATTGGTCCTTGCTGTGGCTTGTTTCCCTCCTTCGTCCAATGGCTTTCAGCCTTTCTCGAGCTCCCTATAAGAGCCCCCTTCTTGTAAATGTCTCTTATGATGAAATATACACAAAATAGCTTAATTAGAATTCAACATTTCCCCACCATCACTCTATGAAACCCCGTTGCGAGCACCGAAACCAGGTGGATCTTCCTTTGATCTTTTAGTATGCCCAAGCCAGGCTAGCCATTGATGAGTATCCAGTTGCCGAATAAGTATACGATTTTAAACTCTCTATGACTCTGGTGTGAATGCTATCTAATGCTTATTTCTTGCAACCCATTTGTTACCGCTTTCTAAACATGGGCATTCCACCGATGGTAACGCTTGACCATAGTACCACTGAGCTGTCCCCATGATCTCCAACGATGTAAGCCTATAACATGAATCATCCATAAGTGAACAACCATTTGTATTGATTGCAAATTCTCCAATTTTGTTAAGAAGAAAAAATAAAAGCTTGAATTAAATAGATAAATGACATGAAATCACCCGCACATCTTAAGTGTTGACACCAAGGTGATCAGCAATGAGGAACTGAAATCTGGACGAGTCTAAATTTGTACACGACGCTAATATCCTATTGCTAAGGAACCCGGATAGCTACCATGCCATGTAAGTCAATATGTCAACTGGATTGGTCACGATTAATATGATGGAATTTGGGGAGTGTTGCACGAGTTAGGGTATAAATTTTTAAAAATGAGATGCATTCTTTTGTGGCAGTTGAGCCTGGACTCCACATGCTTTTGACGCGCACCAGCTGTCACAATTCAAACGTCAAATCCAACAGTGACGGTGTAACTGACCAACGCTATGAGTTCTGTATGAGGTATAAAGGTGGAGGCGTGTTGGAGATTAAGCATCTCAACACGTCACTTGTTAGGACTGGTGCCAATGAGGACAAGCTCGTCGGGTAAACCTTCACTTAAAAGGGTTTGCGCGATGGTTATGCCCACGTTGCCAGGTCCCATAAGAGCATTCCCACCGTTGGGTTTGGCTCGGGGGACGGGCTCCAAAACAAGGGCCCGAGGGCCGGTGGCGTCGCTCCAGCGTTGGCTAGACCGATGGAAGGGGGAGGCCCGAGCTCCGGGCCCGTGGGGGATTGCCAGCCCGAGAGTCTGAGGTGGGCGTGACGTCAGGCTGACGCCAGGGGGGCGTCAGCGCAATATTTTATTTTTTTTGTGTCAGGCGCGTGCACCCACCCGCGCGTGGGGGCGCGTCGCCGATACAAAAATCAGAAAAAAAAGAATCTGTCAGTTACCGTTGGGAAGCCACGTGGCTTCCCACGGTGCGTTAGATCTTAACGGTCACTTAATGTGAACCGTTCGATCTCAACGGTAAAAAAAAAAAATTAAGTCAGATTTAATATCCACCGTTCGATCTGAGATCAACGGTGGATATTAAAATGCTTTATAAATTAAAAAATAAATGAAAAAATAGTTTTAAAAATCTGAAAAGTTACAGTTGTGACACATGGCACAATCTGGAGTGTTGGAATTCAAATTTTTTTATATCCAACGGCAGAGATTAATTAATTGAATAAAAATTTAAAAAAAATTGTAAAAAATTCAAAAAAATTCAAAAAAATATCTGAAAAATCTGAAAAAAATTGTAAAAAAATATTTGAAATATCTGAAAAGATAATGATACGTGGCATAACGAGTACGATTAAAAAATTTATCGGAAATCCATCCCCAATAATTGTCTTTTCGGATTTTATGACAAGTAGCGTAAACGACAACGATTAAAAATCTTATCCGAAATTACAAATATAATTATTTTGTATTATTTAATAATACTTCGGATAATGACACGTGGCGCAACGAGAACGATTAAAAATCTTATCCGATATTACAATTAAAATTATTTTGTATTATTTTATAAATAAATAAAATATTAATATTTTATTGCCTATTACCAGGGCTATTGAAGTGCAACGGTGGAGATGCAAATTCTATTGCCAAGGCTATTTACTGTTCATTAAGGGCAGTTATTGTTCATTAGGTGGATTGAATAGTGCATTGCCAGGGGAGAGGGCTCCAACGCTGGAGTTGCTCTAACCGAAATCTTGGTGTGGGTCCGAGTTAAAAATGGGTATCAAGAAGGCCTAGTGGTGAGCCTCAACTATTTAGATACGTTATTCTCATATACTTTGTAGCCTGCTTCAAGGCCTGGAATTATAGAACTATTTTTTCCACTAATAGCTCTTATTTACATCTTTACTGGATTTGCATCACTTCTTTTATATTAATAGAATTAGAGGATTGCACATGCTTCTTTTTGGACGCCAAAACATTTTTATTTCTTTGTGGTTGAATGGGATTCTAAGCTTCAGATCTCGAAAATTGAAAGTTTCGAAAAACCTCACAGCCAGCACCAATGAGCTTAAACAGAACAGATGAGAGCTAATGAGATAGAGCTAAGCTACTTCACCACTACCGTAAGTCCACGTCTCCACCCAAGCCTAGACATCCCAACATTGCCCAGATACGTGTCCCATCTTGACCTGCAAGATTTACGCAGAATTGCAAAATTGGAAGAGGTTTAAGCATGAACAGATTGTAAAACGCAAAACTTACAGCAGCAAATTGGGTTGCAAGCGAGCACTAACCATCATGAATAAAAAGTGGGTACACTTTTTACACATTTAAACTTGAACCTGTGCATAACCAAGGTTTGGAATCCTACTAAAATCAGGAATAGGCCCTTGTAAGTTGCAGTTCCTCAAACTCCTGAAAGAAACAACAAAAACACAAAGATATTCAATCTTGACATGATTCGTCGTGTTAAATATTAAGAGCTACTTCTCGATTGTCATTCCAAACAACTAGCACCATCACCTAATGTGATATAACATCAGATAGAAACGGGAGATGTTCCCTGCACAGTGGTTGGAAATATGTGTTTCCCAACAAAAAAACTATGATTCCCTCCATTATTGCTATGATTAATCACAAATCTTTTGGATTTACACCTCCGTAGTTGGAGCTTTAAATCTGATGTATGAATAAATAGAGATTGTAGTCCTTAGATCACACAATTTTACCTTTAAACTTACGAGAAGACATAGAATCAGAAGCAGCACTTACAACTTGAACAGTTTAGACATGTTGCTATACGAATCTGGAATTGTAGTCCCACCAAAGATGTTGTCAGCAAAGGCGAAAAAAATTAAATAAAAGAGAAAATCCAAGTAAACAGGAAGGCGAATCTTGTGAACCAAAGCTGAGAAAACCGAATCTTGTGAACAGGAAGGCGAGGAGCAGAACGAAGCCGAACATAATCAAACCCAAGCTTCAGAAAACTGATCGGAATTTTGGTATCTAGGTTTTGAAGGGTGCGAACACAGCTGGAATCAGCCAGATGAAGACAAAAATTAAGAGGCCACAGTCGAAACAGAAACTTGATCGATGATGATTTCTATGGTTTCAAGGGTGTCAACACAGGCGGAATCTGAGCAGAACAATACAACTGAGATGCGTGAGAGACCAGCGGAAACAAACACAACTCGATGATGGATGCGTGGAGTGAATGGGCAAAACAGTCATTCGACTGTACAAATGTGGAAACAACAAGAGAGACAGAGCAAAAATGGAAGGGCAAAAAAAAGGTTGAGTTTTAGCATATATAATGATGTATATAATAAAAAAAAGGTTGCCGTGTACGAAATCATAGACCACCATAAGGAGAGCGTCGGTCTCGAGCCTAACCAAAGCTCGAAAAACAGAGCAGGGAGACTGTACCAGGGAGAGGCAGAAAATGGAAGACTCGCTAGCAAAGCTGGAGCGAATCCAAACCCAAATCCTCGAACGCATATCAAAGCTTGAGAGCTCCACCTCCGCCTCTCTTCCCCAATCCACCTCCACCCCCATCCCTTCCTCAACTCAAAACGCCGCCGTCGGCGCCACCGAAGCCCGCCTCTCCGCCATTCTCCTCGCCAATGGCGTAAAAGACTTCGCCTTCAAGAGGGTTGCTTCGGATTACTACGATTGGTCCCTCGATGCCCGGCGCGACGCTCTCCGCGCTGCCTCAATCCACCATCTCTGCAAAAGCATTGTCTTGGTACCCAGCTCAATCTTTGTAGTCTTCATTGACTTAATCCTAATTCCTAATATCGAAAACGTTTTTAGGTTTCTACGAAATACCCCATTTGTAATTTTTTAATTATTTTACGACCTTGCATTTGCATTCCCAGGTTAACACTCAGGCCCAATCCAGTGTCGTTGATTGTAGTGACCGCAACAATTCAAAGTACTATGTTGTTGTTGTTCAGGTACTTATAGTGTCAATTTTTTTGTTGTTGTGGGGGTGTTTTAATCGAAACAATAACAACGCCGGTGTGTGAGTTGTATGAAATTGTGTCCTTCTGTTTTTGGGTGCAGTACACTGCTCGGTTTAATGCTGAAGCTGTTAAGAACTTCTTGTATTCGCTCAATGACGGCAAGATAGCGAAAAAGAAATTCAACAGTCAGTTCTTGTTCTCTTGAATCTTGATAATCAGTAACTTGTTGATAAGTTCTCGATTACTGCGTTTGTGTATGTCAAAATGTTTGCATTTTGAGCTTATTATGTTCTTTCCATTTTTTGGTGTGAAATTCTGACGAGTGCATTATGTTATATGTACAACCATGGAGAATTCCTACTGTCAATTAGGTAGCAAACTAGCAATGTGAGTTCGTAGAAGGTGTCATGTGAAGACTAGTAATGGAAACATTGCGTCTCTTTGGTGAATGCTTTGAACAATGACAATATTCAATGTGATTTTGGGTTAGGTATTGTAATGTGTTAAACACTGATGTACCAATTTATATGCATTGATGTTTCATGACATGCAATCGTATTAGAGGATAATTTGTTATTGTCCAAGTTTACTTGATATGGCAATCTTAGATTCGCCGCTTTTCTGCCTTTACTCTTTCAAAAAAATTGGTCCAATTCTTTGCACATAGTTCTTCTTGAAAACCTATTTTCCGACAAATGGTTTCCATGTACATCAAATAGATATTCCTTCTGCTTGAGCGTACTCCTCTAAGTCCACGGAGTCTGTTCCAATGCTATAAGAGAACATTTCGCTCTGAACCCTCTTTTCACCTTGTTGGACAGGTTGAAAAATAGAAAAGTTGTTCCAATTGTCTTTTTTTTATTTTTTTTATTTCTATGCCTCCTTTCTTTTCAGTATATAGTCTAGAAGTGTAAACTTATTTTCTGCAATTTTGGGCCGTTCTGGTCCAACTGTTCTTGAGATGGATTTGTTATAATTTTGACTGCCCTCTGGATCTTGTTCCTTGATGTTTCCGGCACTAGACTGAACTCAGCAAAATTAGAGAACAACTACAAACACACAAGATTTATACTGCTTCGGCAGAACTTTTGCCTACGTTAAGTTGTGATTTCTCTAGGTAGAGAAACCATGGCATCTTTGATTAATAATAGAGTATACATTAATTCTGCAAATGCTAGAACTAATCCCTCTTTCCTCGACTATCTCTCCGTTTCTCTCACTTCCTTTTCAGCCTTTCCTGCACCTCTATTTATAAGTATAGGACGTGGTTTACATCCTATTTTCTGATTAGGTTTCCTAGTCTATATGGGATAGGAAAGTTCACTTTCTTTCCTATTCCAATTTGGCTTCAAGGATTCCTAATCTACTTGTACAAGAAAACTTTAATTCTTTCCTAATCCTTGTAGGATAAGAATCTGTGCACCTTTAGCTTTCCTAATACAATCCTAAACAAAATAGGACTTTAACAAAAGACGAACCAAATCCTAACAGGATTTATGCATGAGTTTCTTAGATCCACCAATTTATTTCTTCATTCTCCCAACGAAAATTGGTCCAGGTCTTTGCACATAGATCGTCTTGGGAATCTGCTTTTCAAGAAAACGTTTTCCAGGATTTTATATGTGCATACACTGTACTAAATATCCTCTCTGCTTGAGCCTTCTCCTTAACCGATGGAGATGTGTTCCAATGTTACTTCTAGGATTCATATAGCCGACCCCACTTGGTGGGATAAGGCTTTGTTGTTGTTGTTGCTCTTTTGCCTCGTTGGACAGTTGATTAAATAAACAGAATTAATCCAACTCCATTCCATGTTTGTTTCTCAATACTCCCATGAGCATCTTTATTTTTCACATCTACTGTATTGTTGTGTGAGCTTTTCGTCCATCTGTTTTTGGTATGGCTTGATTCATAATCTTCTCAATTTCCCCCATTTTTCCTTCACTCTGAAAGAACAATGGTCCAACTCTCTGCACATAATTTTGTTTTTGCAACCTATTATCAAATAAAAATAAAAAATCTGTCCTTTTTTATCTTTCTTAAAGTTATAGGGATGTGTTGCAATTGCATTGGTAGATTTTTTTCGTTAACCCCTTTGCGTCATTGGACATTTGAGATTAAAGAGTGTCAGTCCAACTCCATTCTTTGTTTCTTTTTGTATTACTCCTACTGCATTTCCATAAACCATCCTCTCTTTCATTTTTTAAAAGTCTACTGAAAATGTGCTCCAAACCTCAATGAATAAACAAAGGGGTTTTCCAGAATTAGTTGCTTTGTTTGCTTTTCTTTCTGTTCTCCCCTCAGGTTTTTAAATTGAGATCTTCAATTTTAGTCAGCTTTCTTACTTTATTGTATATTTCAAAAGGTAATAGGGGTTGTTGTTGGTTATGCAGTGAGGCTTGCGCCTGAGGATACTTCAATACAATTGACTGGGTTTGAGCACAATGCAGTTACATGTGTTGGCATGAAAACAGACATTCCAGTGAGCACTTGCTTTTTGCAATTTATTTACGATGTATTTCATGTCCTTTGAAACTGGAATTATTTTGAATGGTCTTGTGGTACAGGAATCATTTCTTCATGACATGATACTTAAGATTCCTTGCCTCTCACATATCTATGCCTTGATAATTATAAAACTTGGTATTAACTGATGTAGTCAGAAGTCTGATGTGATTGATGAGAAAAACTAGGATGGATCCCGTTTCTAAATTATTTGTTCATCTCTTTTAAACTTTCTCTAACATGAAGGATCCTGTTTTTATTTTAGATTTGGTAACTTATATTTGGATTTTAGTGCACATATAACCGTCACATTCTTTAAATTACACGTGTACTGTCCAGAGTTCTTGAGACGAACCACTTCAGTGTCGTTTCATGACAGGTTAAGCTCTAGCACACAGGCCCCTCGTTCAATTGCCTGATGCCTGCTTTATATGTTCAATCCTTCCAACCTTCAGACCAGCTGTTAAGCTGGACCATTGTATTGGTTGTCTTGATTAATGATTATCTGCCACTCTGTTGGACAAAAAACTGATTGATAGTGAGAGTTAGAACTCTGTTGAGAGGTTTGGCAGACAACAAACAACCTTGTGTGTGTTTTTTCACATGCATTAGTGTACGGAGCAGCATATAATGTTTGAAATATGTGGAGCTTGAATCAAGTGGGCATTCACATTCCTATCATGGGTCCTATAATGTGTCGTATACTAGAAAAGATCGCAATGACAGAACATTATGAAATGACATCGTAGTGATTATTTGTGACCACTGACAACACCTAACACCTCATCACACGAATTTTAACAAGCTTAAGGCGAGCACATATGGTTGGTTTTGCTGTTCCTATTGTGACGATGATCTGTTGGTTGTTTTCAGGTGATTATGGATGAAGCAATTGAGAAACTTAGTCCTGATTTCTTCTGGCTGGGCGGCGGCGAGGTTGATCTGAAGCTGGGCATCAGAACCTCAGAATTTATAAGCTATGCTAAACCTTTTATCGTGAGCTGCAGTGGTTCTTGATTTATCCAAAGAAAAGAATACGTTATTAAACAAAACCTACAAATTAATACATGAAACGAAGAAATGTTTTTCGGAGTTGGTTTGTAGTTTTGTTACTCCCACCGATGATCGATTCATTTCAAAAACATTGAGTCCCATAACTATGTAGTTTATGTATAGAGCAGGTGCTGCTATCCTACCAGCTTTTATGAATTGCTACTGCTTTTCTTCATGCCAATTTTAAACGAAAATGTAATGTGGAAGGCATTCAGTGCATGGACATGAACATCGAATTTGTGGAACATAACCCTCTTTGTGGTGTGCTTAATTGAAAATTGGAAAAGAGCTGATGTGATGCTACTAGCTACCGATTAACCAAAAAAATAAGGGGTCAACCACATCAACAAATAAATGAAGCACGATGTATCAGTTTTTTCACATTGCGCCTTGAGATTTTTGAAATTCTATTAATTTTTGTCTATCGTTTACTCTACTAAATTAATAATGGGGCCAACTGTGTAATTTATTATCGTTTTAGAAAATGAAGTATTTGATTCAGGGAAGCTAAAACTCTATAATAACTAATTTTTGCCCGAATGGTGTGGGCATGGCTTCAATATCAACAAAAAAATGGTCTCACGTCATCAATTTAGTAATTGACCGGACAATCAAATAGGCAGAAAGTATAAATTGTTATGGTAAAATTTCATGTGTAATGTAAGAATGAACATATCGTGGTTCATTTTAAAAAATTGTTTTGAAGTGTGAATGTAACTAGCTAAAGTACCGACCATGACAACACAGAAGGTTGTGACACATCCATGTAATATGTTTCTCACCTTTGTTACAGTAATTTGGTAAACTATCAACATAAAACAATTAAAAAAAAAAATGTTTCTCACCTTTGTTACAATAATTTATTAAACTATCAACATAAAAAAAAAAAATAAAAAAAAATAAAAACACATGCAAACAATGAGAGCAGCCATCATCCATCAAATCAACACTTTGTCACTACTCGCTAGTGGACCATTCTTTGTTGCATAAAGGAACTTGATGTTATAAATAGTCGAAGGAGAGGGAGAAACTTTGTTGAAGGTTGAAGTGAAACACGATCAAAGTATCATACCGTTTTATTATCTTTGCTTGTTTTTATATATGGCAGATGGTACGAAAGAAGAGGAATAAAAGAAACTTGTATGATTTATTTCTGCTTCTGTTTGCACCTAGAGTCTGATTTCTTAATAAGCACGCAAGGACAAATGACATTATTGGTACATTCTTCCTTGATTACATACTCATTAAGAAACTTTATACCACATCCTTCCAGATTATTTTAGCCCATATAACGATCGCCTTAATTTAATTGAGAGCATACATCATGGTTTGTTAATTGCTTCGGGCAACTTAAGTCCTTTTGGGATTTCCATATAGGAACGTAATTGCATACATTCCGGGAGAGTATGTCTCCTCATAATCAATTACGAGTTTTTTGTGAAAAACCTTGTGCAATGAGTTGTGCATTATATCTTGCAATCTCGTTTTTCTCATTGCGCTTTCTTATGAACACCCATTTGTAACCTATAGGGTTTGCTCCAAGTGGGCTTTACCAAACTAACAAACCCCGACCCAGAATATCCATCTGATGAAGCCATAAAGTGATGGTGATGCGGAAAGTGCAAACTAATTTAACCTAAAATAACTAATTCTAAAGTGCGTATGTGCGCGGGATTGAACCCATTCCACACGTGATGTCAGAGCACAAGTAAAAGTGTAGTAAAGGTAAAGTAATGATATATGGACTACTGGTCCAAAAACACTTCGTTTTTCCAAGGAATATAATTCTGCCTGGATTGCATCTTTCCACTTTAGCCAATCTTGGCTATGTTTACATTCATCAATAGAGTGTGGCTCAATATCATAGCTTACTATGATTTCAGTAGCTACTGCGAATGCAAACATATCGTCGATAATTATTTCATTTTGATTCCACAGTTCATTAGTACAAGCATAATTTATGGAGATTTCTTTACTTTCATATATTTCTGTCTCTTCAAGGACATGTGTCTCATCAATGACATTTTTCTTTTTTAGAAGTACAAAATCATAAATTATAAGTTCATCATTCATTTCCTTTTCATGAATGGTTTCATTTGGATTCAGATGTGCCTTTATCTTCCTCTTTCTAGGAGCTAAATCTTTTGAACCTAAGTTTCTAATACGCTTCAAGCATGCAATGGATGAATCATTTGCTGCCACATTATTATGCCCACGAGGGACATCAACTCTTGCAGGCACATTTGCAATTGGTGTATATGATTTTTCCACTTATGCATCATTACATGCAATTGGCATTTGATTGGCAATACCTTGAAGATGAACAATTCTTCTCACTTCATTTTCACACTAAGTGCTCTCTTCTGGAATTTCTTTTCTCCCCTAACGGCAGTTGTCTCATCAAAGTGACAATCCTCATAACAAGCCCTAAAAATATCACCCGTCAAGTGTTCCAAATATCGAATCATAGATGGTGAATCAAAACCTACATAATAAATTCTCAATATGCGTTGAGGTCCCATTTTAGTACGTTATGGTGGTGTGATAGGCACATAGACGGCACAACCAAAAAATAGTAAATATGAAATGTTTGGTTGGTACCCAAATACGAGTTGTACTAAGGAGTATTAATGGTTGGCAACATGCTCAATCGAACTAATGATGTAGTATGTAGGATGGCATGTCCCTATGTAGAAACTGGTAACTTCGTTTCTCATGAGTAGAGTGCGAGCTATTAATTGAAGCCGCTTGATAAATGCTTCTGCTAAATCATTTTGAGTATGGACATGAAGAATAGGGTTTTCAACATCAATGCCCAGTGTCATGCAATATTCATCAAAAGTTTGAGACGTAAAGTCACGAGAGTATCAAGTCAAATTGACTTAATATGTTGATTTGGAAATTGTGCTCGTAGCTTAATTATCTGAGCAAGAAGTCTTGCAAAAGCTACCTTTCGGGTAGACAAGAGGCAAACATGTGACATTTAGTAAATGCATCAACCAAGACCATGAAGTATCAGAATGGTCCACAAGGTGGTAAAATAGGCCTACAAATATTCCCTTCAATTGTTTGCAAAAATGATAGGGATTTGGCATCAAAATTTGACTAAGATGCTCTAATTACCAATTTCCCCTAAGAATAAGCCTGACAAGGGTTATCATTTCGTATAGCAATATGTTTGCCTAGTAATGTGTGTCCGTTAGAGTTGGTACGATCCTACACATCATGGTGGATCCTAGATGACCCCCAGACGGTCATGCCAGAGCATGTAAATTTTTTGGGCCAAAGAACTTTTGGTTCATGACATTGTCTGCTTCAATTGCCCTTATATATGTATAATACAATCTACTCGATAAACAACGCAACTTCTCCAATGTAAGCTTATGGGTATCGTTGGAGATAATGCATAGGTATTCCACATTTTCTACTTTTTTTTGTTTCTTTGTGGTATCCATTCAAACGTATATCTTTAAAACTCAACAAATTTCTTGTAGAACGAGTGGTGTACAACACATTTTGTATGGGTGTTCTATTTGGTAACGACCTGAGCTTTTAATTACGTCTGATTAGCTAGATATTGTTGTTACTTTTGCTTTTGTAGAATCAAGGTTGAAAAATACTCTCAATCTTGAAGTATTGCATGCGTGGTTACGCTGTTTGCAAAACAAATATCTTTGCCCTGTTTTGAGAATATCCATAATTTTAATCCATGCTTTGTGAGTAAAATAATCATAATTAAAAATAGTTTATTCATAATTAAAGGAAATTACGATGCCACTTTTATTGAATTGAAAATAAAAGGTTTAGACAACAAGTTTAGTTAATGAAAAGCAAAATTACACAGCAACTAAGATTGATGTATTCAGACCTATAAACTTCATTCCCCCTCTCCACAACATAGTTTGAAATATCTAGATGGGTTGTGTTCAATTGTCCTGATAAATTGAAAACTGGATCAGGTACATTCATCGGATCAGCCTGGTCGATAAAGTTGGTCCGAAATGTTTTTTCTTTGAGGGATGCCTGATAAAGATCCATAAGGTGCTTTGGGGTATGACATGTACATGCCCAATGACCATTGCCACCACACTTATGGCAAACTTTTTCAGGATTTCCCAGAATGTCATTCATATGAGCTTTCTCCTTATAGCGGTTTACATTTTTAAAGCTTTGACTTGGACTATGCCTTGGACTCTGATTGTATTGAATACCCAGGTTCTTGCGTTTTCCATTCCATGGGCCTCGCTTGTAGCCAGGTCCTCATATGTAATTATAGCCACGAGAAGATGTGGTGTTTGCTTCAAGGGAAGTAGCATTCACTTCTGGGAATATAGTACTAATCTAGTTGGTCGGGACTAATGATTTTTCATCAGAAGCTCATTGTTTTGTTCAGCCACAAAGTGCTTAATATCATTTGGTTGTACTTAAAACTACACTCTCTATATTACTAATCCAGGAGCAAATTAGAGGCATAAAAAGTACTAGATGTCTTTTTTAGTATGTCTGCTTCAGTGATATTCTACCCACAAAGTTTCATTTGGGAACTGATTTTGAACATTGAAGAGTTATCCTTGATAGGAGCATATTTATGTGACTTTGTTAGCTTGTTTCTTTGCATTTAGAAAGTTAGTTTCTATTTATTATAGTGTTTTAAGCTATTTTCATGTGTTTGTAGGTTTAAATGACAAAGTTGGCAAGAAAGTGCAATTTGGTGCTATTTGGAGCAGTTTTGGGCTTGGAATGGTTTGCATATGCATGGAGCAAGTTGGATGGATGAATTTGAAGATCAAGAGAGGCTAGGAATGTGATTAACATCTGGAAGAAATAAATTGAAGACTTGGAAGATAAGGAATCAGCTACAAAGAAGGAATATTATCCAAATTATCTTATCTTATCCAAACCTTATCCAACCTTATCTTATCTTATCCTATCCTAATCTTTTCCTACCTTAATTCTAGCTTCAAAGAGGACTCATTTTCACATTAAATCACCTAAATATCAAGTTCTAGAAGCCCTATTTTCGTGCCCTAAGTTTATACCACATGTAACCCTTCTAGAAGTTCTAGAATCTGCCACAAGGACCATTCCTTGTCCTCCTTGGAATCTGATTGAAAGTGTCCTTGTTCTTTGGTGATATGGAGTCCTAATTCCTCTCATTTTCAGCCCAATTTCGTGCCCTCCCTTCACCCTATAAATACATGATGCCGCAACACTCATAAACCACCACCCTCTACCACAATTTCACATCATCCCATCCACCACACCTGGAGCCGTGCTTGCCATTCAAAACGTTGGATTGTTGGAGCGTTTTTAGGTGTATTCTATTCTTTGTTTTCAATGTTTAAGTTTAATTATCTTTGTTTTGTGAACATGAGGAACTAAATTCGTTTTAGTTATAGGTGAATTCAAAGCCATGAACATATATGTGATATGAATTGATTTCATCCAATTATTGTTTCATAAATCATGAATGCGAATTACTTATCTTTTTTATTGGTAACTTATTCTTGTATGTTGATTAAGGAGGCCTACTTAGTTTGCATGCATGAATTTGATGCAAGAATATAAGGGAGTTTCACGTAATAGTTATTCACTTATATTCAGTAGTGGAAGTCACTAGTCATGATTGTGTTAAGTGAATCCTTGGCAGGAGTCTCATGCGTTTCATAGTGATGAATGCCTTGTCAATGCTTATGATTTTCATAGAACTTAATGACTATTGATATGTATCTCTACCATGCGTTTCATATAGGGAACTTGAGAAAGATAATTTGGTTGTAATGCGTATTCATTCAATTCAATGAAATAAGGAAAATCTGATGGTTAGTTATGCGATACAATTAACTTGGGGCATTGTCATTCATGGTTTAAATAAATAATAACTGGAAACCGATTTGTATGCACATGTGTCATGTGTGGAGAAGGACCCTCTAGCTAACCATTCACCCATATTTCACCCAATTTCGTCCAAGTTGTTTAGAGTCTTTACAATCTGTTTGTTTTTACTTTAATTTCGTCCAAATCAATCTCCCTTTTAATTAAGTGTGTTAGATTAATTAGAAACGTGTTCAAATCTGTCCAATTTAGTGTTTTGAGTCTTAATAGTCTAAAATTCATCCAAATAACTTCTTAGAGTCTATTTCGAGTCAATTTAACTTAGTTTGTGTATTTTGAGTCTTTTTAGTTTGTTTTGAGTCATATAAGTCCAGTTAAGTGTTTTTAAGTTTAGTTTTGTGTTTTTAAGTCAATTTAGAGTAGATTAGCATCCTTTCTAATCCCCGGCCTAAAACGATTCCTACTTTCATACTACAATCATAGGGTTTTAATTTGAGTGTTAAAATATTTCACATCAATCCTCAACAACCGTCTTAAAATCCAGGATTCTCAAGTATGTCCAGTCATAACGAGCTCTTGGGAGAATCGATGTTTTCTGGTGATTATATCTATTTCTCAATGCATTCTAGAGAGCCAGTGGCTTTCGCCCGATCTTGAGAGGACATAATGTTTCCTTCCTTAATGGTGTCACCAAGATCTCCTGCCTCAAGATGGATTTTGGCATCTACAACCCAGGTAAGGTAATTCTTTCCAATGACATTCAGGGTGACAAAATCAAACTTTGCCAAGTTAGTCATTTTCTTTTTCTGAAAAGTAAAGTGAGATGTGTAAGAACTTGCAGTAATATGTATTCTGGAGGAATGCAGTGTTAAAACTTTTCATTCTTACAAATTTTCATTTTTGAACTTTAGGCCAAAATGATTAGCACTCAAAACTTCAAACTCGAGATTAACATAATTTAGACATTAATTAAAAATTCTTAGGTAGTTATTTAATGAGGAAGGCAATTGTATCGCATCATCCTGAGCAGAATAATGTAATGCGGGATAAGAGATTATATCGCACCATCTAAAATTACAGTAAACTTAAATAGAGGTGTAGGATGGGTGATTATACCACACCATCTAAAAGTACAGTAAATTTAACTATGTTGTGCATGATGGGCCATTGTACTGCACCATCTAAAATGCAGTGCATGATTAGTAATCGAAAGCTACACCAAATAATAAATATAAAACATAGGTAATTATTAAATTAAGGACTAGGAGAAAGCATGGTGCTAGCAGTTCGTCATTGTAGTGGCAAGGGAACATAAACCAAATGAGGCAGAGAAGGAAGACAAACAATAATATCCTTTCAGGAAACATTTTGGCAAGGGAATGAAAACTAGTTAGAGTTACAAAGTCGTGCTGATAACATGTTATAAATAGGCGAAAGAGAAAGAGAGGGAGAACCTTTTTTAAAGGTTGAAGTGGAACACGATCTAAGTATCACATTGCCTGGTTATTTTTACTTATTTTTGGATATGGGACATGGAAATGAAAGAAGAGAAATGAAAGAAACTTGTATGATTTCTTTGTGCTATTGTTTGAGCTTTTGTTGCTCACAAGAGAGAACAAAAGGTTTTTTCAGTCTGTATGTGGGGCCTCAAAATTATTCTTTTATATAGGAAAATTCAATTGACAAAACATGTACAACCTTATAAAACCATGAGCAAGAATACTGTAAGCCAATTAGTGAGAACTATTTACCCTATGCAACAATCTTCAATGAATAATCTTCACTCACATGGCATCCAATATTATAACAGTTGAACTCTTTTTTCTCTTCTTTTCCAAGGTTTTGCGAGGAGATATTATTATTATTATTATTTTCTAATGAACAGATATTTTTTATTGAAAAAAAAGTAATGAAAGCGCCTTATTTATAAATATCTATATCATTCCCAGAAACCAAGGAAAAGCATTATATTGTTTTTCTTAAGCGCTTGCCAACTAGGTAAAAGTAGACGGTAAATTCATCAGAAGTGTAGACATGCTGATCATTTAATATGTCTAGGACTTTTTGTTGTGAATGGGTGGTTTCCTGTGAGGTTGTGCATAATCCATAACACCTACGTCCTCCATAGCTCTATTTCCTTTCGGACCTTTATCTTCTTCCATCTGATTATGCAGTGTAGCAGATCCCAGTAATGTCCTTATGTGCCTCTCCAATCCCTAAATCATGCAGATCTTTCATATCATATATATGCATTTCGATGCAAAATATTGACACTATCAAGCAATTATATCATATATACTTATTTTGTTAGGCCGTGAATTTAAGCATCATTGATTATGTTGATTCTTGTTTTAATGTATAGTCCAAATTCATTATCTAGCATGCACCTCAGAAGCTGTTTGATAACATAAGTTCGGCAAAAAAAATTACGCGTTGTTGCAAAATCGTAGTTTATAGTACTGATTTTCTTCTCATCCCAATTATATATGTTATGTATATATCCCCTGCCAACGGTTATATGTAGTGTGCATGCATGAGTTGACCACATGCCCTGCATCTTCGCAGGGAACATATGGTGAAGTAGATAAATGTGGCCACTTGCACCACCATGCATCATTCCAGAAGGGATCATACTCTAACGCAGCAATTGGGTGAATTCTTATGTACGTACCTTCATTTTAATCGATTTCTTCTGGTCAATCCCAGAAGATACTGTAAAAATATCATGTCCTGCACATCGCCACCATACCATCACCATCGTAAACAACAAAAAATAACACATATAACAAGAATAATTTTGGGAAATAAAATTTTTTTTTTCCTTGCACAACGGAGGAATGTTTATTTTTCGTGGTTAACAACATATATAGTAAGAATACTATTGGGAGATAATTTGACTTGATTAATTCGAAGATAGATTAAGAACCTGAAGTTGGTCCGTGGAAATGTCCTTGTTTCCTCAAAAGATCATCCTTTGGGATACTCTGAAGGGTGAGTAATGTTTCAGCGTCGACCTTCACTTCTACTTGCTTTGTTTGCCATTCTACTGAGATAGTCGGCCTCGTCGACGACATTGAAGTCTCAGAACGTCTTAAGACATTCCCTACATCCTGCACCAAAACCTAAAATAGTTAGGCCACTTTCAATACTATGCAATAATAAACCATTTATATATTGCATGCAAGGTGGGTTCTGTCACAATATTTCAAGATCATTTCAGGTAGCTATATATATTTCAGTCAATTAGATGCGATTATGATGACCATTTTGGTTGGTTCAATTACGTTAAATCCCATCAATTATCTTATATATATATATATAGGAAATAGTTGTGCCGACCTCAATAGAATGGTAGGCTCTACAGCCACTTTCCTTTGGAACGAAGCCTAGAAGTCGGGCATTGCATGCATGCATGGAAAGGCACAGAAGAACGAGAAGAACAATTGAAGACATAATTACGAAAGACAGTGGTTACGATCTCAAGGTTTTGAAGTCACAAACGGAACTAACGGTCGATAGTTCAATCGATGAGAGTAATGGAAAGTCTTTCTATATGTGAGTGAGTTGAAGTGTTAGGTTTGCATAGTATTTGTAGTGATAGGGGAAGGAGGAGTAATAAATGCAGGTGGTAGAGACGTTCTTAAAGAGAACATGTAGGTGTTTGGGTGATGAACGTCTAAAACCAAACTCAAGATATTGAGGCCTCCCCTTGTCCCCTTCATCTCTTACTTTTAAATCGATTGGAGGGCCCTAAAAAGCACAAAAGCATGATACATGGATAACTTATCTGGTGCATAAATAATGCATGGAAATAGATATTGAGAGAGGAAAACAGTTCATTTCCAAATCCATTGATCGCACATAGTAGTCATAAGGTGAGACGTACTTATAGGTGGATTTCACTATTTTCGACAGGATACGAATATCTAAATTGGAAATTTTTAGATACTTTTTCAAACCTATTGTCGATATTACGAAGCAACCAAAAATTTGTATTCATTTTTCATGATATTATGCATGAATCAGATATATCATGGCGAATTCTTCAAAAAAAATTGTCTCAGAAATGTGTGTTATTTTGTGATCATTGTAAGTAGATATGGTGCATTACTTATAGAATTTTACTTTAAGATAGACGAGTAAATATATAATTTCATGTATATATTCAATGTGGAAAGCTAAAAACTTTTTAATTTGATATTTTTTAAAGAATATTAAAGAAAATGAATGGTTCTAATTATAAAAATTGTTCAATAAAGATAAGCTAATCACAAGTGAGTTGAGAACGAAAGAATCAATGGGTTGGAAACAAGTATTTTCTAATAATTAATGTCATAAACCGAGTAATTTCAATATCCATTGAGGTAAGTAACATGAAGCTTTTGTTTTTCTTTATGCGAGCAATAGTAGGGAAGAGGTAGAGAAATTTAACTCGAAACTTTAGATGCAAGGATGGTTACTCTTAACTAATAGAGTTATAATTTCATAAACAAGATGTTAAATGAGTGATTTTAAAAAGAGAATTGTATAATCTTGTTAAAGAAGCGTAGAAGAAGTTGAATGAGACCAAAAAAATAAGTTGAATAGGACCCATGAGTGGAGTGGGAGGTAGGGACATAGGGACGAAGGAGACAAAGGAGCGTGGCAAAACCGTCATTGCAGCTTCTTTGTGGACATGGAAAGGTCCACCCTCCCCCACCAACGTCGGTACTTAGTATGCACTCTATGTGGCATGTACCCCATGTGCCTCGCACTTGGTTTTTTTGCCACACCACCCGTCTTAGCTAATTAGGTTTGAAAAGAAAATAATGTCAGCACATTTTTTCGGTTTATTTATTGATTTGCCTATGAAACTATCCTTTAATCTCATTTTATTTTTTAAATTGAATTTATCTCACTTTACTTCCTAAAACTATCAAAATCGAGTCGTCCACGCTGGCAGAGAATTGGTTGTTTTTAGAGGTTTAAGACAATCTAAAAATTTTAGACACCACCAACCACAATGACACATCTTTGCCAATATGGTAAGAAATGCTCAGACTGGTCTTTCATTTAATTAACGTCCATGAGACTACAAGACTGTTTAAGGGGCAAATCAATAAATGAGCCTTTTAAAAAAAGTTGTTTATTTATGTTCATTTTCTCTTTGAAATTGAAACAAAGCGTACCGAAATCACTTTCATTAGGAATCATGCTGTGCGTGGTTTCAATTTAAAGGGCTTCGGTCGTTTTGGCCATGAACATGGTAACGAGTCCGACCTATTCATGTTGTTGTTAGGCTGGATAAACAGAGTTAGCATCATGATTTGGTGGGTCTAACAATGTATCATTTCATCAATGGTTATCAATAGCTTCCTGGATTAGCAGGGTGAAGAAAGTTGAGGTTCCATCATAAAGTTACTTGGTAATATAGGGAGTAGCCCAACTTCTTATAAGCACCCTCACGTGTGGCAAATTTTCAAGCCTAACACGTAGACAACACATCTCGGGAGATGTGGAGCACATCTGGCCGTTGAGCTTCACACGTAGGACAACCTGCTCTAATAACATGAAGAAAGTTGAGGTTCTACCATAAAACCAATTGGCAATATAGAGAGTAGCACAACCTCTTATAAGCACATGCAAGGTCTCTCCTTTCCTCAATATGGGATTCACTCTCAACATAGAGATTAGTTAGCCGTAACATTATCTTAAATTGAATGGAATATACTAATTTCACGCACAACTGATGCTAGTACAACTCTGAATGATTGTATTGGGCTTATTGTTGTGTTTCTGGTTTATTCAAGGGACCGATTTGTGCCCAAATTTTACACCACTCGACCTCATGGATCTAGGATTATCAAGTAATAAAATTGGTCCAAGATGATAATAACAGATAATTGGACAATAATAGATGCCAATATGTGATTTGTCCCAATTCAAGTCATCATATGACTTAGGCTAAGGCTCTAGACTAAATTCAGTCTAAGCTGAAATTTGATTTTAGTCCAGAATGAGTTGATGTCATCCATGTCAATACTGCTATGATACTTGACCATGTCCAAGGTCAGTTTGTTGTTGCAACCGCACCAATTGTATCGTAGTATGGTGACTAGCTATTTGGACATGAGGGTGACGACTTTGGCCACAACCCATGAAGTCCATCAAATAACTGTTGAAATCCCACATCGGCTAGAGAAAGAAACAAAAAAGAGTTTAAATATCCTAACTACACTCCAACTAATATCGAGGTCTTTTGTGATAAAATCTCACACCTGATGGATTGTGCAAGTGGTAATTACCAAGTTGGGAACAGTACCGGTGTTGTTCGAAGTGAGCCATTGGCCTGTCTCTTTGATAATTTTACAATAACAACATATAATATCATTCCAACTTCCAGGGGTAGCGTGATGAGCTCCGACCACGACCCAACCACGAGACTTCCAGGGGCAGCTTGATGAGCTTCGACCGTGACCCAACCACGAGTTTCTATATTGGTTCACTGTTTTTAGAAAATTGAGCATAGATGTAAAGGTTTCAAGCCAGTAAAGTGTCATCAAATATTTAAGGTGAGAGAGCTCAAGGTGGAGAGGATATCAAATTATGTCATACTAATTATATTCTATCATATCCATGATTTAAGTGGTAAATGTCTTTTGTATCAAAATCGTGTTGATGTATGCAATCAAGGATGATCAATGTCAATTATGACAATTGAAGGAAGAATTATACTGGTTGATGTAATCCCAAGGCCATTAATGGTCAATCATGTTGGGACGTTATGGAGGCCTATAAATACAAAATATTGAACAGGAGAAGAACCCTTAACACAACGTGGAACATCTTTTTGTTCTACTAACTTTTCAATTCATAACCTAGGAGTAGCATAATGTAGCTCTAGTCGGGATTACTTTTACTCAAGTTACTGGTTGCTCATCTTTCAATTCATTTACGTCATGCGATTTAGTTTACGCAGTCTTTTGGTTCTTTATTTCTGTTGCAATTTGATTCACCGCATTTGTCTTCCAATTCCCTTGTTTTGCATGCGATTAGCTCACGCACTCACATTTCAATTCTTTACTTTACACACTTTAATTCTTGATATTATCTTTTCAATTATCTATAAATCAAAAACTACTTTCTATACATTTGTTCTTCCTTTCCCTTTCTCACACTTTCTTTTAATTCAATCGGGTTTCCCTTCAATTCCTAGCTTTAATCGCACATTCCCTTCAAATGTTACCATTTCTCGCACTTTGTTTGTTTGGTCAAAGTCTTATCCCCAAGAAAGAAATAACTCTGATTGAGAAGAAGTTCTTTGCTAGGTCGAATACAGTTCAATTTTTAACAAAACTAGAGAATTGTAGAAATGATCAAAGAAAAGTAATGGCAGATGCATAAAGTTTTAGAGAGATATATATTTTCTATATTGCAATTACAACAGTTAGTTACAAAAAATGAGTCTTCAAAACTATTTATACAAGCAAGGAAACTTAATGACTAAGTAATCTTCTAACAACCTTAATCACTAGGATGAAGCCTCTAGCCATTACATAGATTATGCCATTTGGCAAGTATACACTTAATACTCCTCACTCTCAATCTCAACTGGGGAACCCCAACTTGAGATTGGAACAATGATGAATGAAGGTAAGACCATGAAGTCCTTTGGTAAGAATGTCAGCAGTTTGTTTGCAGTAGGAATAGAAGCAACTTGCATATCCCCTTTTTGAACTCTCTCACGCACAAGATGGAAATTTGTGTTCAAATATTTGATGCATCTATGAAAAACAGGATTTGAACACAAAGCTATGCAGGAAATGTTGTCACAATGCAGAAAAGAAGGTAGGGGAAGAAACATTTTCAAATCCTTTAAAATAAGTCGAATCCATGCAACATCAGCTGTTGCATTAGCTAATGCCTTATATTCTGCTTTAGTAGAACTCCTTAAAACCCCACCTTGTCTCTTCAATTGCCAAGAAACTAGATTATTACCCAGAAAAACTACATATCTAGTGGTCGATCTCCGAGTATTAATGTCTGAAGCCCAATCTACATCACTAAAGGCTTAAAGTTCTAACTTAGTACTAGCAGAATATGTAAGATCACACTTAGTTGTACCTTGTAAATACCTCAGAATCCTTTTTATAAGATAGTAATGAGCATTTGTAGGTGTTGCCATAAATTGACAAGCATAGTTTACAACAAATGCAATATCGAGTCTAGTAAAAGTAAGATCGAGTCTATTGCAATGCTTCAACTAAACTTCTAAACATTTTAGGATTAATCAATGGTGTACCTTCATCCTCGAGAAGTTATGTGTGAGGTTTACAAGGTGTAGGACATGCTTACAAGATTCCATCCGAGCCTTCTTCAGTCGTTGACATATTTAGATTGAGAAATAAACAAATCACCATTATCTTGATAAGTGATTTGGAACCCCAAGAAAAAAGTCAACTTGCCCAAATCCTTCATGTTAAAAACTACACCTAAATCATCAATTATTGTTTGAACCAACTCTAGATTAGACCCAGTGACAATGATGTCATCTACATAAAGTAGAATG